ACTGACCTCTGATTTCATACATTTGTGCAAGAGAATGCTACTCCATGCTTGTAGTTAGAAAGCATAGGTCTTGCTTATTAGGCTGCTAACATACTCCTAATGCTTCAGTTCCAACTCTGGAACAATGAGGGAGGGGCCACAAATTTACACTACTGTAGAAATAACAGCCTTTTCCTGGTTTCCAAAACTGAGATGGAGAATGGGACCTTCATACTTGCCAGAAGGTAGAAGCACTCACATGGATGAATAAAATGTAGGAGTCTGTAAATCATTATTTTGTACGTATGCATTACCAGTTTAGGAGATCAGCAGGAAAAAGCCAATGAATATTGATAAATGTAATTTCACTTGCTGGAACAGAATATACAATTAAGAAGTTGAAGGTACATCCAAATTATGATTGGCGATATTATGAAAATAAATTTCATTTTGTTTTTGCTTGATTTAGAGAGGTTTTATATTCTTTTTGTTGACTGTTGTAAGCCACTCAGACTTCATATCTAACATGCATAGCCATATAAATTTTCTAAAATAAACAAATGTAGATGACATCTATTTATACTGCACTACTTCTAATGAGTTGTGTAATAATGTTCTGCTACAATATTGCCCTATATGCAATTAAAACTAGATTTCAGGGTATACTAGATATTACTCCTAACTTCAAAAGCTTTAAAGCATTATGAACATAAAAAGCTCTCTGCCAATTCTGATCATTGATCCAACTGACAGCACTTCTCCAAAGTAATGGGTACAAAACATCTCTCTGGTTTTAGATGCAGATATATGGGATTTAACTTGGGACCTTTCACACGCATACTAGTACCACTGAATGCAAGCATCCATTTAAAGGAACAGCAACTCTGATCAGGAACAATCAGCCAGGATTCTGGCATATGGTTGGGTAGGGTAGTGGTTGTAAGACTCATCAACCTGATTCATGTATTGCAGTAAGCCATAGTTTAATCACAACTTATTAAATTCACACAAAATGCTAAGTAAAAACCAAACACCACATTATAACTTAATGAAATGTGTAAACCTAGTCATCCTGTAGCATTCAAAGGGCAAACTATCTTATTTATGTAGACAGACTGTTTCAGTTTATTCCAGCCATGAAAGAAGACACACAAGATTTATCCAGCCACCTAAGCAGGCTGTCTTAATTTCTTTAATCTAGTACCCTGGAAAAATCTCCAAACTACAGATTATCAGTATTATGATAAAGGAAACAACTCTCAGAAAGTTCTCTCTTTTGATAGTAGACACACAATTATGAGCACTGGAATCATAATTCAGAATTTTTCTTAAATGACTTTCTTGTTCTTATTTACTGCGTAGGATCAGATACTCAGGTTTCCCCATGTACAGCTATATTTTATTTCATATGGTGCAAGTTAAATGTGCTCCGAATTTAACACTGTCATACAAAGCATCTGATGGTTGCTGCAATTCTTTGTACATTAAAAATAAGTAGTGGTAATTTTACTACTATGTCACGATATTTGTGTTGCTGAGCGTGGTAGACTAGAAGTACAAAGGCCACGTAGGCTTTTAACCTCCTTTTCTGCAATGCCTGAAACCTCCCCATGAATCACACCATCAGAGTTCAGTGTAAAGGCATCTTCAAGTCAAGCTTTACTCCTGATAACTTCAGGAGCATATACTGTATCCATGTAATTTTCTTAGCAGTGATAAAGAAGTGGACTCCATTGCTTCTTTGGGATGGAGATATATATACAGCTGGATAGCATAATGGTTAGAACGCTGCCTTTAACATGGGAGACCAGGGTTTGAATCCTGACTGGTACCTATCTTACCAGTAGGAGTCCTTGGACAAAGACCCACTAATGCTTCACCTGCCTACCTCAAATATGAGAATGACACGAACTAAGAGAGTCCTGCTGGCTCAGACGTCGCCTGGATTAACATGGTCTATGCCAGATGTTGTGGAAGCAGGACAATCTGACAATAAGTGGGCTATTAGAAACAAACCATACTTGGATGAGACAAGAGAACCTGGAATTGATGGAATGCTACTACAACAGTAGACCTAATGAGAAGTGGAAAGTAAAGGCCAAAGTGGTCCCAGTGGTGGTAGGAGCACTTGGGGCTGTGACTCCTAAGCTGGGAGAGGGGCTCCAACAGATCCCCGGCACAAACACAGAGCTCTTTTTCCCGGAGAGTGCCGTGCTCGG